CCCCTGTGTGGCCAGTGGAGGCTAGCTGCTCTTTCGTTCCCGTTAGGAAGCACTGAGACAGGCCTACTGTGGGACAGGCTCTAGAGGCCAGGGGGTAAGAGGCAGGCTCTGGAGGACAACTCCCTGGGTTCAAATCCCAGCTCCAGGACTCACCCTTCATGAGCTCCAGCATTTCATGACCTCTGGGTGCCTCGGTTTCCCCATCCTTAAATGGTGAGAAGTTTAGTACTTTCCTGTAAAGCTGTGTGTGAGGAGACAGGACCTGCCAAGCGCTCAGCGCCGGCCTCACCCAAGGGGGTGCCAGTTACAGATGAGGAAAAGAGGCTCAGAGAGCTGAGCACCTGGCCCAGGGATGGAGCACAATTTGAACCCAGGCGGCTGGACAGTGCGTCCACCAACCCATGGCCCCCCACACCCGGCAGCCTTCCATGGGCCATTGGCGCCCACCCTTGGGTCTTGCTGCCCACGCTGCCGATGTGCACCAGCTGGTGTCCGACGGGACGGCTGCCCGGAGCCACATCATGGCACCATGGATTCTGTGCCGAGGGCAGGGGGACGAGGGGGTGGCTGGAGCCCAGTTTGCTCTTGCGAAGCACTTCCTGAACGGCACATTCGGTTACCACAAAATGAGTCAAGGTCCCTTTCAAGTGGCTTGCTGAGCTTCCCTCTGATCTGGCACAGCCTCCCCGGGATGGACAGGCAGCAAGCTTTCCTGATGAGCTGTCAGGTCCTGCTTGGAAGCGCCTTCCCTGGGCACAGGCACTGACTCGCTTTTCCTACAACAACCCCACGGGGCCAAGTGCGCTCTAGTCCCTGGTTTATAAATGGGGACACCGAGGCTCAGAGAGATTGGACGAGTTGCTTCAGATCACACAGCTGGTGGGGGCCAAGGCTGCGATTTGAATTCACCCCTATCTGGCCCTCACCGGCCCCGTTCTTCTGCCTGACTCAGAAGAGGAGGCCATATTCACCTCCCCGGCCTGCGTCAAGGAGAGGCCTGGAAGCTTTCTCTGGTTTCTTTTGCAGGTCAGGGCTGGAGAGGCAAGACTGTGGAGATGGAAGGATTAGAACCAATCTCTCACATCCCAGGAGGAAACAGGGGGTTGTGATCGCTGCGCAGGAAATACAAGAGCCCCACTGATGGGCGAGTGTCCCCCTGTGGGCTGATTTCCAGTAAGAAAGGGGTCACTCTGCCCACCAAGGATCTCCCTGAAAGATGGGGGTTCCCTGGATGAGGGAGAAGCCACAAAAGGCTTTCACTAAAGCCTGGCTTCAGGACAAGGCACGCACCTGAGTAGAGGAGAAGCTGGGAAGGGTCCTGCATCCCGGAGTGGGGGCAGGGGGCCAGAGGGCTGGCAGCTCTGCCGAGAATGTGCTGCCCAAGACCAGTGTGGGTCCTGCCCTACGGGGTCCTTTTGGGTCCCTGGACAAGAAGGAGGGATTCTCAGTGGCACTTGGGAAATGAGAGAGAAAAAAGGAAGCAGGTGCATTTTGAAATAAACACAGCCTGTGGAAAACCAACCCTAGCCAAGAGGGTCTGAATTGTGCTGGTGGGGATTTGGTTCTTTGTTTTTGCCTTTGTCGTTGATGTTTTGATTCAGTTTAGGAGTTTTCTTCGTAATCACTACTGGGAAACTCAGAAGGCCATTGAAACAACAACAGCAAAACAAAACGGGACAATAGCAACAGCTCAACAAATGTGACAGTTTCAGCCAACTCACCCACCTGTTGAAATGGAAATCAGTCCGAACCTAAGGTCACATCTTTGCTCCCCCCACTGCCCTCTCTGCACAGCGAAGGATTGCACATAAAGGTCCAACAAGCTTGGGAGACTTGAGACTAAGAATGTTCATCTGTACGTTAAAAGTCCTGAGAAGTCCTGTAGTCACAGAAACAGTTCAACTACGGAACCCAAGGCTTCCCAGACTTACTAGTCCAGAAAACTTTTTTCTGGCAAAATGCCTATGGTATCTCCCTGTGGAGCACATACTGAGACCCACTGGCCTGGCCACCTGGGGGTAGGAGCAATGTTGGTCCCAGTGCTTATTAAGCAGATGTGAATTTCTGTGGCCTAACTGTAAGGGTCCTGGCTCCTAGTCTTGCCCCTGATAGTTTAGCCAGACCCATTGTTTAAAACCCTAGGGTGTAGGTAACACTTTTAATGATGGCTTGGGCTCAAACTAATGGGATCTCAAACTGTGGCCCATGGGCCAAATCGGGCCCATTGCTTATCTTTGTAAATAAAGTTTTAGTGGCACATAGCCACTCCCATTCCTTTACAGACTGCCTATGGCTGTTTTTCATTACAGTGGTAGAGTGGAGAGTTGTGACAGAGACCCCAACGGCCTGAAAAGTCGAAAAAATTTATTATCTAACCCTTCAGAGAAAAAGCTTGCTGAACCCTTGTTTAGAGGGGGGAAAAAAAACCAACAACAAAACCCACCTGAAATATTAATTCTATGAAGCCTGAATATCATGGAAATTTTAGATTCTAAATCCCTGTAATTTGGGCCAATCCAGGTTCTGTGTTCAAGTGGTTGATGTAACTGGCACACACAAGGGTTCAAGTGTAAAGGTGTGTGTGTGTGTGTGTGTGTGTGTGAATGAAGAGGATGCAAGTAGGAACGGAGGTGGGTGAGGGAGAGAGGTTTTATTGTTCAAGAACATTGAATTTGGAGTCAGAGCAGGGCTCAGATTCCAGCTCCATCACTGGGCAAGTTATGTCACCCAATAAGCCTGCTTGATTATGTGCGAGAAACATGGAGATAATGTCTTTGGCTGGACAGGGTTGTTGTGGACAGCAAATGAGAATGTACAAGCAGAGTCCCTCTGCCACCTCACAGAGGACTCAGCCTTTCTGGTTAAGTGTGCCCAGTGTGTATTAATTGCTCAACAAATATGATTCCTATCCAGGAATTATTCACGGGAGCCGTATTCAGGGGGCAGGCAATATCTGGGTGAGACAAACCCCCCTTTCTTTCCTGGTTGACTGTTAGGTGCTAATTTGGGTCACTTCCCAAGGGTGACCTTCAGCCCCATTCCTAAATGCCGAGTGAGGGCTTCGATGCTTTCCCGCATAACAAGGGCACGCCCTGTACAAACCACATAGCACCCAGGAAGCAGATGGTCCGGTAAGTGTAACCCACAGACTGAAGATGAGCCATGGGCAAATGGCAAGGTGCAAGTGGCTTTTATGCTGGGATCCATAGTGAAACATTTGGGATTCCAGGGGGCAAACTTGAACAGACCTACTCTCTGTCAGCCGGCGAGGTCTGCCCGGAGAGATGCTAGTGTTTATCTGCCACAACCTTTAGTTTTTATTGCACTCAGTTGCCTTGTATATTTAATAGGGAAATTTGCTGAAGTGGTTACTAAGCCACGCAGAGAAAAAGGAAGGGAGTGGGGAGCTGCTCTCCGACCCCGAAGTTGGCAAAGTTGCCTCATTAATCAGACCTGTGCTAGGATACAACGTTATTCATGTTTAGGGCATTAAAACTCGAAGCTAAAATTGTAGGAGGTAATTTGAGCACATGCAGCCTGTCTCTCTGCAACAGATTTATGATGTTTACTCAACAATGGATGGGAACTTTCAGGGAGAGAAGGATTTTCCCCGTCCTTTTCAAAAATACATCGTCAGCCCACAGTGATCAAGTTCCCAATTTTTGTGTGAGTGTGCACAGCCTTAAAAAAAAAAAAAACAGTCTGTAGGGGTGCTAAGAGCAGATCCTGTATTTCTGTATTTAATCTCCACCACTCTGAGCTCAATTGAAGAACAGACTGGAATGAGCCGTCTGCAAGACAAGTGGTTCTCGACGTGCTCTCGGACTGCACTGCTTGGCCTGAGATGTTCTACAAAGTACCACCCGCCCAGGCCCCGATCCTGATAAGGGGCATCTGGCATGGGGCCGCCCCACAAGGGACTGAGAGAATTCCCAGCAAAAACCTCCGGGTTCCAGGCTAAAAGGTGGGGCTTGCGGGTGCATTGTGGTTCTAGTTCTGGGAGCTGATGGCTGGTGACTTCAAAAGAGTGAGACCTCCCATTTCCCAAGATTTCCCACCTCCTTTCTCTGCTGAACCTCAGAAAGCACGAGCTTCCTCTCACAGAGAGAAGGGAGAGGCAGGGCTGCTCGGAAGGGAATACCTTTCCAGAAGATTCCTTCACCATGCAGCAGGAGGAGCAGTCATCCTGCCCCCTGACGAGGAAGCGATGAAGTGTGTGAAACCGGAAGCACTCAGGAGCACGCATCTTCTCACCTGGCGGCAGGTGAAGTGGGAGTCAGGCATGTGTGCCTATTCTGGTCTTGCTGGTCTTTAGTTGTACAGCTTTGCCTCCGACCTGCTAGATTGGTGGTCCACTGGGGACAATAATACCCATCGGATAGGACTGTTTCACAAACTAAATTGATATTTTTAAACAATTTGGTTAAACAAACCCACTCTTGAGTACCAGCTTTGCCACTTCCTGACTGGATCACTTTGGGCAAGTTGCTTGCCCATTCTGAGCCTTCATTGCTCTACCCTAAAATGAGGATAAAGCTATGACTGGCCCCACGGGGCCATGGAAGAGGGTGTGGAAGTGCTTTTTAGAAGAATACAAGCTGGGGCGCCTGGGTGGCTCAGTCGTTAAGCGTCTGCCTTCAGGTCATGATCCCAGGGTCCTGGGATCAAGCCCCACATCAGGCTCTCTGCTCAGCGGGAAGCCTGCTTCTCCCTCTCCCACTCCCCCCTGCTTGTGTTCCCTCTCTCACTTTCTCTCTTTCTGTCAAATAAATAAATAAAATCTTAAAAAAAAGAATACAAGCTTATAGATTTTCAATAAATATGAGATTCCTGTCTCAATTTGATAGAAAGATGCATTTCTTTTTGAATTTGGGATGGGGGTGGGAATTAGAGATTGAATTTTATGCCAAAGTAAAAAATGTTGGCATAAAAAGCTAAAAATCCTTCTATGATACAGGCACGGAGGGGATCTACGTGACACTTCAGTGTTACTCCTAGACGATCGGAAAGCCTGCCTAAAGGGAACACAGCAATTTCACAACATTTTCCTTCCCAGGGTCTCTGGCTTTCCAGTGCTTGGGTGTTTTTTGTCTCATCATTGAAGCCAGTGTGGTGCAACAGATTTAAAGTAGGCGCGACTTTTTGGCCCCCGGTAAACACTAGAATTTCCCTGTCTGAACTAAATATAAAATTCATGAAGTTAGATTCAAAGACACAGCCCGCCCCCCCCCCCCCCCCCCCTGCTACACTAAAGAAGCCTTTTTCCAATGGGGGGGAGGGTAGGTTAGGCAAGGGAAACTAAAGTAGCTTCAAGTATGACTAGCAGTTGTAATGATGAAGTACTGGGGAAGATTTACTTGCCGATGGAAGGAATACTTGCAAATCTACCTTTTTTTACAATGGGGCACGCTCATGCATACACCGCAACTCACATACAAGTATTTATATAATTTTGCAGAAAGTTTCAAAGTAGAAACAAACACAAACACACAGAAATTATATTTATCATGCAGCCTTTGCCTTAAAAACACCCACTTTGCCGTCTGGCTGGAGAATCACTGGCCGGGTCATTATCTAGGAGCCCAGAGAGGAGTGGGCCTTGTAGGAACTAGAACCAACCAGCCAACAAGAACAGTGACAATAAGTACCACCACAACAAAATGACTTTTTCAACACTCTAAGGTGCATTTTAAAACAGCCCCCAACTTTCCAATTTAAATAGTTCGAAATGAATCAAGGCGAAGAAAAAGACAGCATTCACCACACACAACTGAACTTTTCAAAAATATCTTATTAACACAGCCTTCCAAATAAATCCTCAAACTTACCAGTCTCAACAAACTTTGCATTGACTGATGCTCTTGTCAACTAGAAAGGATACAGATGGGGAAATGAGTGACATTTCCATTCTTTACTGTTTACCTGATGTCCCACCTTGTTTGCTTTGAGAGAGAGGCTGTTTGCAGAACCACTGGAATGTGTGGGACAGTTTGCTGGTAATGCCAGTCAGGCCTTCCAGAACTAAACCTCCAAATGAATTGCAGAGGACGAAGACCTTGAGTTCTGTTTTTCTGCAGAGTTGACTCATCTGTGTGTGTTCATAACATTTAAAGAAGTGATGTGCCTGGAGAACAGGAAGGGAGCTGCTTTACAAGCAAAGATAAGATGTGATTAGAGTATGAGGTTGATCAGATAAAGATACCACACACACAATTTGGATTTTAGCCGGTTCTTTAATTTATTCTGAAAGGCAAAGGAGAGGAGAAGGATGGCGACCAAGAGCTTTAAGAATTGGCTTCCCCCGAGCTGCCTCTCTTAAACACATTTTGTGGTTTGTTTCAATACCATCTTTAAAAAAGATGCGGCCATTCATTTCCTCTTCTCAGCTTCCCTGTCCTCCCCTTCATCCTTCCTCTAAGAAGGCAGGTGGAAACTCCTTTAGAAGTCCTATCTGCACCACCCTGTCTTAGAAGACTTGAAACGTTTATTCTCAGTGTCCTCGGTTTACCTGCCATTGGAAGCATTACTGGAAAGAGATGCCACCAGCATTCAACTAATAGTCACAAATATGGTAAGTATAAATAGCGAGGAGTGGCAGAGTCATTCCAAGACTGCGGTCCCCAGCAAGTCTTACGAATCCAAGCGATGTGCCAGCATCTGTTATGATGTTGGTGAGACTCCATCACAACTGGGCACAGAGAGGGCTTCTTTTTTCCCTCTAACTATTTCAAAGCACATTATGGATCCTGTGGTCTTTTTTTTTTTTTAATTGTGTTTTATTTTAATGCCAGTACAGTTAACATATAGTATAATGTTAGTTTTAGGTGTAGAATATTCAACAGTTCCATCCATCACCCACTGCTCATCACGACAAGCACACTCCTTAATCCCCATCACCTAGTTCACCCATCCCCCCCCTCCCCTCTGGTAACCACCCATTTGTTCTCTATAGTTAAGGGTCTGTTTCTTGGTTTGTCTTTCTCTCTCTCTCATTTTTTCCTTTGCTTGCTTGTTTTGTTTCTTAAATTCCACATATGAGGGAAATCATACGGTGTTTGTCTCTGACTGACTTATTTTGCTCAGCATTGTACTCTCTAGCTCCATCCATGTCATTGCAAATGGCAAGATTTCATCCTTTTTTATGGCCGAATAATATTCCTTTGTGCACATGTACCACATCTTCTTTATCCATTCATCTGCCGACAGACACTTGGGCGGCTTCTGTAGTTTGGCTATTGTGGACATTGCTGCTATAAACATCGAGGTGCATGTACCCCTTTGAATCGGATCTTGTGTCTTGACAACACCTGCATGAGGCTTGAAAGCCCCAAAGTCGTATCTTCATTTACTAGTTAAGGAAACCACAGGGCAGAGGTCGAATGACACTTACAGGTGGCAAGCTTATGCTAGAATCCGGGTCTTCCTTGCTCCAGTTGGTTCCCTCATTTTCCTCATTTTTGCTTCTCTCTCAAATGGCAGCAACCACCCCTTCTAGTGGTCTACCTCTTTTCATGGTCTTCCTTGCTCCAGTTGGTTCCCTCTCCTCATTCTTAGACAATCCATTGGCAGGGACAGTGTTTGTCAACAAAACAGCTGCCAGATGCCTACCTGGGGAGAGAAAGGTAGCACCTTGCATATTGCAAAGCTATCTTAAGGCTCGCTCTGAGGCCAGGACCTTGGATGCCCGTTGACCTCCATTCTAAGACCTCAGAGGTTACAACAGATGGAAAGGGAGAGAAGGCCCAGAGTCCACAGGGAAATGAAGGGTGGAAAAGTTTCTAATTAGAAGCAACTTGGACTTTGGTTGGAATGTTGGGTTGTTCTTCTTGTCTCAGAAACCTACAGAATGACTTCCCTCCCTCCACTGTCCTTGTAAGTTTTGCAATTTTTGATTTGGCGTTATTTACACATTTTAAAGTTTTCTTTTTCATAAAGTCAAAAAGGGAGTTTTTGGTGGCCAAATGTCTCCTGAAGCAGATCTTGAGTAGCAGAGTAATGAGGTTTTCAATCATGTACAAGACTGACAATTAGCTAATAAAAATCCTTTTTTTCCCCTATTTCCTCAAAAGTCAGTTCTCAGAAAAATAGGCATTCACTGTACATACCCTGTTTACCAGTAAGGTTAAAAGTTCAGGCAAAGAAAGACATCAAAATATTTACATTAAAGCAGATCAATGTTCCTATATGGTGTCTGGCTCTGCACATTCGGGACAGGCCTCGTCAAGATTGTGGAGAGCAGAGGAAGCAGTGTTCTGGAAGGCTGGCCCTATGTTTTTCAGGCTCTTTCTAAGACTATTCTCTTTTCTGAGACTGCTGTCTCTGCTACCCCCAGCTTTTTAGATCTTTCCTTCCTTTTGATATTTTACATTTTACAGCTTAGGTCATTAGGACGCCACCAGAGTATTTTTACCAATGGCATGTTTCTATTAGTTCCTTGGTACACTTATTTTTTTAAATCCTCAATTTTTACGAATTAAAATAATAACGATGACAGTCACCATTACTCAATCTGTCCTTTATGCTTTCATACATTATTGCAAATACCCTCCCACACTGACATGGTGAATTCGGCAACTGAAGCTCAGGGACCCAACCGCTAGCTAGAGAGCATGCAAGCCAGAGCAGGGGCACATCTGACTTCTGTAATTTCTGGAGTCTCCGTTGCTCCGACCCTAAAGGAGGGGCCCCAGCACTGACCATGTCTTCAGAAATACTTTGCTGGTTCACTCTTGTTTCAAGAAGAGACGGGTCAAGGGAAGTCAGGTGGCCTTTTTTCTAACGGGAGCAATGCTCTTCTGAGGGACTGCACGTGAGGGCTGGAGCTGCCAGGTGAGCAGTAGGCCAGGCACCGATTGCTCTGGGGGCCACGCGGGCCACCCGCATCCGTTGGCAGCATCCTGCAGCCCAGCAGATCCCCGTGGAGCTCCGGCTGTGACCAAGAGAAAGACGCCAACATGGTTGTCCTCGGGCACCTGTGCAAGACAAGGCATTGCTGTGGAGACTTGGCGTTGGAGGAGGGACTCATCTATCCCCCAGCATGGACATCAGACGTGAAACTTGGGGCCCGAAGCTCTCCTCGACTCCCCTGTGTCAGCCAGCAGGGCAGAAGGAAGGGGCTTCTGTTTGGGCGATTCTGCCCTGGGCCCATCCTTCCTGGCTTAGTCCTGCCCTCAAGGGCTCCAGGTGCAGGTGGCTCAGAGCCTGCACTCCCCAGATCCCACTCGTATCCCCCCCCCCCATTCCATGCCCCTGCGGGAGTAGCTTCCCCTCCTGGGGGGCAGAGGCCTCCCCTCCTGGTCGTGTCATGTGGAGTGCTGCATGGGTCCGAAGAGAGCCTGCCAATAACCCCCGAGGGCACACACTTCTGCTCTCCCTCACGCACTCGAGAAGCACCCCCCTCACTCCCACTGCACACACAAACACACCCACCCCCAACCTGCACACATCCCAGACTCTCATACCCCCTCATCAGCACACACCAGGTACACACACACATCGCAGACTGCCCCCACACACCCGCACCCATGCCATATGTGTATGCTGTGCAGATACCCACCACACACACCCCTGCACGTACACAGGTGCTCATGCACTACAGACACCCACCACCGGTCACCCCTGACACACACATACCACACATGCGCACGCTGAACACACACACACACGAGCTCCAGACAACCTACACTCATACCCCACATGTACCATACCTACATCGAGTCGCATACGCACCACACACAGCACACACAGCAAGACCTATGGCCAACAACCTACACCACACCCATGTGCACACACCTATACCACACATGTACCAGGGATGCCCACACTCACATCCACCCCCACAGGCACGTAAGCACACACACACACACACACACACACCATAGATGCACCCCCCCCCACACATGCACCCCCACACAGTACTCACATGACCACACCACACACCTCCATACTACACACACACGCACACACGCACACACAGGCACACCCTCATTCTCACACCCCCATTGCTGACTCTGCTAATTCTAGGGCAGACCGCCGGAACCGTAGGCGGACTGCCAAACAGCCTTCCCTCTCAAAGAGATGGCACGTATGTGGAGGAGTGACTGTCTGTAACGTGACTTCTTGAGGAAATAAAAAAGCAGACATAAGGTAAGCTAAAGGTAAAATGACCAATTACAGAGCTGTGTGCTCCCACCTCTAGAGGTTCCAAAGGTAACAAAAACGGAATCAGAGTTACTCGGGGCCGGAGGTGGCGCACCAACAGTTTCGGATGATACATTTTCCTCATTTCTGCTTCTCTCTCAAATGGCAGCACCCACCCCTTCTAGTGGTCTACCTCTTTCCATGGCTCCTTAGCCCCATCCCCTTCTCCATCCCGATGACTCTCAAACAGCCTCACAGTTAGCTGGGACCCCCAGGAGCCTCTAACTGATTCCCCCCCAGGTCCCCTACCAGCTTCTCAGAAGAACAAACATCAAATTCACTTTACCAACATTGACTCACCACCTACGTAAGGCAGGCATATGTTGGGCTTTGGAGGTAAAAGGTGTTACCACAGAGCTCTGACCTCAAGGGGCCCAGAGAGCGGAGCTAGTGGCTGTGCTCACCGGGCTTCTGGGGTCTTGTGAAAATGCAGATTCTGGTGTCAGGGGCCAGGGTGGGACCTCTGCTTTTTACCCTCCAACCGCACTTTGAGCGGTAGGCAGTTTCCAGGAACAGAGTCTGCGAACACCCGGGCCTGCTGGGAAGGACCCTCACACAACTGTGGCCTGCACGGGGCAAGGCCAACAGGGCTGCCGGTGGGCACACAGGCAGGGGCTCGGGTGGCCACCGCACCTGCTCGCGGTCCTGCCACACTCAGCGGGGCACCCGGGACTCCGCATGGGTCACGTGACTTCCAATTGCCCTCTGTTTTCAGTTGTGCTCTGCTGTCTCTCTTCCAACCGTCCCTTACTAGTCACGCTCTTTGGTGAGGGAAAATGGCTTTGCTTTTCCATATTTATAAAATACGAAGAAGCAGCATGGCCGGAGGATGGGGGAAGCCAGGCTACTCTGGATTTAAATCCAGGATGCACTAATTTTGTGATATGGAGCAAACCAAAACTCCATTTTCTTAACTGAAATGAAAAAATAACAATCCCACCTCTGGGGCCTGTTACGAGGACTGGAAATACAGCTGACTGCATGGGTTTGAACTGCGCAGGCCCACTTACACTGGACTTTCATCGAACACTATTGTCGTGTATTTCCCCTTCTTCCTAATTTTCTCAATAAGATTTGTTTCTCTAGCTTACTTTACAGTAAGAACACAGTATATAATACATATAACATATAAAGTAGGTGTGAATCCACTGTCATGTTATTGGTAAGGCTTCTGGTCAAGAGTTAAGTTTGGAGGAAGGCAAAACTAGACACAGATTTTCAGCTGTGTGGGGGTGTGGTGCCCATAACCCCCGTGTGGTTCAAGAATCAACTGTAACGTGTGAACACCAAAAGTTGTGTCCTGAGCAAACTAAAGCCTCAGATGGTAGCTGGGATTACTCTCGAGGTACATGTTTATTAATCCATGTACTTGGGTGATCGTCACTGGACATACAGTTCCTGTACAGCTGGGGAAAGTGAGGCAGGGACACCAGGCCAAAGGAGAGCATGTCCCGTTCGAGGCATGGGCACTCAGCATGGCTTTCGAGGTCCTGCTAAGTCACGCAACAAGGGAGACAGCCGCGATCACAGAAGGGAGAGGAGAGCGCACAGGCAGACCTCTGGGAGGTCATCCAAATCTCATTCTTTGGAGACATCGGCCCTCCCCGGACACCTGTCAGTCCAGGGCAGACATTCCCCAGCTTGACTCCCTTCTGCTGGAGAGAAGCAAAAGGGACTCAAAGGTACCTCAGTATTGACAAAAAGACATTTAGATCCAGAAATTTTAAGTCAAGCCATCGGCCAAAAGGCCTCAGCAGAGAGATAAGCATGTTGCAGCTCGCCCAGACTATGAAACCCTCACTGCTTTAGAAAACTGAGTCAAAGAACCCAAAGTGGAGATTCATGTGAAGGAAGACGGGCACAGCTGTTTTAATCATAGTGCCTTCCTGAGCCAGAGGCCCACACGTGGAGCAGGGCAGGAAAGTGGATGGTTTTCACTGAGTTTTCATCTCTGCTGGACTCATTTCTCCTCCTGGCACACCTGGTGGAAAGGGACCACGGGGGCCAAGCAGCATGAGAAGGCAACTACCTCAAGCCCTTGTGTGACCACCTCAGCCTGGGCGTGTGCCTGGAGCCATGTTTGGGCTGTGCCTGAAGTCTGCGCATCCCTAGCCTCAGAGCCACTTGCAAACATCTTAGAGATACTGGTGTGAAAGGGAGAGGATCTGGAAGGTCGGGAGTGAGCAAATATCACCACCATTTTCCAAAGGAACGGGTTCTGAAAACAGCAGAGCAGACTCACTCCAATTTCCGGGCAAACCCGAAGAGGCATTAGACAAAGCTCACAAGCATTTGGGAAGAAAGTGGTGGTCTCTAAGAGGCAACAAGAGTTCTCTGAGAGAAAGTCATTCCATGCTAACCTCATTTCCTGTTTTGACGAGCTTCACCAGAACAGTCGATTAGGGGAATGCCCCAGAAAGTGTGTCTTGCTTTCAGTAAAGCATCTGAAAACCTCTCATCGTATCCTATGTACCTGAGATACACAAGACAGGCCTGCTGATGCTATGACTGGGAGAATTCACAGTGGCCGGGACGACCTTCCCACAGAGGTCAGGCCATGGCATGATGTCGGCCCTGCTCCCTCGACTGCCACGTCCACTCTGGAGATGGCCATGCTGGCCAGGCCACCCACTGGGTCTCAACAGCTCAGGCGATTCAGTGTTTTCTCCCCACTGGCAAGGGAGATTTGAAATGACTCTCTGCAGCTCTACACATGGAGAAGGGTGACAGTGCGGGTCTATGGTTTGTTTTGCTCCAGTCACGTCCTTTGGAGGGAAGCAGAGATGTTTCCTAGGAGACCCACGGGGCCCTGTCCCACGTTCCATTTCAAAAACTAACTTTGAGGGAGACACTGATGGCCTATTTGTCACATCTGCAAATCACACAAGCCTCTCAGGACAAAATGGCCTCACACCATCAACTCACAAGAGTCAGAAGGCTGGGGTGAAATGAGACAGGAGCAAATGCAAAGCCTAGGTTTTTCTGGAAAAGCACAGTGCACTGGAGGAGCACGGAATTCAGGTACATTCGATTCTAGCTATGCCCTGCCTGCCTGAGTGTGACCAGAGATGACAGAATAACACTTGAGAGTCTTTACCTCTACTTTTTAATTCTTTCATAATATTGAACTCTTTCTCGGGGCATTAGACCGGCACCAAAAATCCTTTCCCTACTTGTGTTATGGCCTGGTTGTGAGGACAGAATAAGTCAGAGGTGGTAAAGTGCTTTGAAAAAGGGAAAGCTCCGAAATTCAAAATAGTATTATTATTTGTTGTAAGGTGCTTTCCCTCCAAAAAAAGAAAAAAAAAAAAAAAAAAACTCTGACAGTCTGTGAGTGATAAGCAGAAAATGATTCAGCTTTGGCTTCTGTTTCTCCAGCTGTAACCCCAGACTGGTTGAGCTCACAGAGTGGCCCCAGTGAGCCCACCACAGATCCCGAACTCCTGCAAAACTCCAAACCCCTCCTCCTTTGGCCATCTGCTTTTCCAAAAGTTCTTCTTGGAAGGCCTGCTTCCCACTGTCCTAAATTCTGGTAATTAAAGGATCATTCAGACAGCTCCCTTTCCAGGGCTGGGTCTCCAAGATGCAAACCAAGGACATAGCCAGAGTGAATGCCGAATGACTTGGGTCAGGGCCTTGGACTTTTGCAGGTCTTTTAAATTCCTTTGGATCCTACCAGGTGGTCCTTTGAGAGCATGTCACTCTTGCTACTGTGCAAGCCCAGGCTCAAAAGCTAGATGAAAAATACATTGCAGGCCCAAGACAGGAGAGC